AGCAAAACAATAATGGCAAAAATTACAGAAACTATAGCCCATGGCTTGGTGAAATAGTTGTGGACCAAAGACGCTCGCCATTTTGGCCACCACCTCGAGCAATAAGCGTTGACGTCTTCACAAAGTTGAGCATACAAGAAAACATCTGTATAAGTGCCATTGCGCATTCTGTTTAAGAGTTTAGCCGCCTCTTCAGGGTTTAACCAATTACCAAAGATTCCTGCTCTGCTCATTAAATCCACATCATCTGAGTTGTCAACCAGGCCATCTAAGAGCATGGCATAGCATGTTACTCTCATTATGCAAAAAGAGCTACATTGCTCAAAGCTGATGAGGTTCCTTAAGATGGTTTCCGTCGATGGGTTGATTAGCAAAGATGGGATTTCAAGAACACCCTCGTCCTTGTTGAATTTTACATCCAAGATGTCTCTTGACTGGGCTTTTTTAATTTTGACTCCTGCCTCTTTAAGTCTAGTGGCAGAAGGAATAGTGTTCCTGCATTGCAATTGCAGAACGTTTACTCCCCTTTCCGATCAATAACCCAAACAACGCCGAGCAAGATCAATAAGGTGAACAATCTTTGAGCTGTTGGAAAGAAGCTCTACCGGTATTTGAAGTTGATCCTGTGAAAAAGCAGAGCCAAAGAATCCAATTGCAAGTTCAACTAAAGTAGTCTTGCTTCCAGAGACTCTGGTCCGGGCAAACAAGAGCTCAAGCACAAACCAAGGAATTTGGTTTTCAAGCAAAAATAGGTCGTGATAAATAACAAGAATCATACCCTTTGAGAAGAGTACATACTCGTTTTCTTGTATGGCTACCTCTCCAGCAGCCTTCCGAAACAGCTCGATTATAAAGCAACCATCGAGCAGCAAGATCTTCTCAAATTTTTCTTTGGTAGCATCAATAACTCCCTCCTGAATATCCTGATCTCCCTCGCAAACATCCTCAAGCTCATAAACATCGTCTCCCTCATAGCATTCTCTAGCTTTGCTATGTGCCTCTTTGATGGCTTCTTCCAACTCCTTCATCTTTGCTCTTGGATTGGGGAAACGAAAAATGAGTCCATCAAGAAATGCCTCTTTGAATTCTTGTGCAGTGCTCATCAACTGTGTTTTACCAAAGTGCCAAGGACCAAATGAAAATCTATAGGGCTTATAAGCCTGTTCATTTTGCATTTTGATCATGCCCGGAATTCTGAAGATGCAACCCTTGGATATGATAGCATCTTCCTCATCCAAATGATTCAGATCTATTGCATGTTCTCCGTTGCCCTTTTGCATGTTTCTGAATTCCTAGCTGCTGCTGATCTTTTTTAAAAAATAAGGTTATAAAAAGGAATCAGCACTGCATTTTTGTAAAGGCATGTCAATATAGCTAGGACAAGTAAAATTAAGCCCCATTTGGGTGGAAAATAATTTCCTAGTAATTAACATGGCTCGCAAAAAAATATGATACAAGATTAATTAGAAGTAAACAAGAAAGTTTTTTTCTTTCTTCAAAAACACACAAGGCAAACAAAATTTTTATAATCAAATAAAAATCTTTCTGAAAAAGCTTCCTTTTTTTCTTTCCTTTCATGAGTCTTATCATCTATAATTTATTATTTTTACAAAGAAATTATATGCTAAGAGTCTAATAGTATTTGTGTTTGAGGAAAGCTTACCTTGTGAAGCTGGGAATGAGAGTTGAGGAAAAGAAGTTAAAAAAGCTACCAGCTGCTGCTTTTAGCGTGAAACTTGTTACCCTAGGAGAGACAACAGGTGGCCTGGAGGAGAAAGGATTAAACTTGGCTATGATATGCTAAAATTAGAGAGGGAAGATCAAATAAGAACAACTCGGTTAGTTAGGTATAAATACTGCTTTCAACTGGGACCCAGGCGGGATGAAATGTTTTCTATTTTTTTAAACTTGATTAAATATTAATTTTGTCCTCTCAACTTTAAAGTTTGCATAATTTTTATTTTTTTCTGCACTTATTTAGTCTCTTACTTATGAAAAATATATATATTTTTTATTTTTTTATTCATTAATCCATTAAATTTATCTAAATTTATATTTTTTTAATTTTTTAATTTTTAATATATGCACATTTTTAATTCTTTAATTTAAAATTATGAGATTAAAAATATACATATTTAGACAAATTTAACCAATAAACTAACAAAAAATTAAAAAAAATATATTTTTCATAATTAAAAAATATATAAAAAATTAAAAAACCAAAATTATATAAAACCTTAAAATTAAAAATCAAAATTCACATTCAACCTTCAAACTTTTATCTAGCTGAAAAGTCTAAATATCTTAGCAGTCATATCTTCCAGCTCATCCATAATAATATCAGATACCATTTCTAACCATTCAGCCTCTTTGGCTTAGGTTTTTTTTTTCAAAAAAAAAAAATTAAGTGAATGGTGAGCCGTTGACCGCTGTGATTCTTATTAAATATCATGTGAAAGTTGGTGAAGGTGAAAGATTGGCATATGACGTTTCATTAAAATGTTAGTACATGATTTATTTATTTTTATAAATAGTACATAATTTATATTTGAGCTGTCGAATTTAGTGATGGCAAGTTACATTTAAATAAATTTTTTTTAAATAATGATTTAAATTTGATTATTTGTAAAACTGTTCAAAAATAAATAGTACATAATTTATTTATTAGTTTTGATTTATAATTTTATAAATGTCCATTTGTATTGTGGTCCAAAAGTTACAATTTCTTTAAAAATATAATAATGTCTAAAAATTCAGAAGTTGAATGTTAACCATTCTATTCCTCAATTCCCTAATTGTATTAGTTAAAAAAAAAAAGACTTCACAAATCGTGCCTTAAATTAAATGCATCAATAATGGTCAAAAAAAAAAAAAAAAAAAACAAATGAAGTATTACCGCTGAGAGCAAACAAGGGAAGAGACAGGGTTGAGCGAAAAAACCGGCCCGGTCGGTGGCCCAAAAACCACATCAGTGAGCTTTAGGTTTAGGTTAGAACATAGAGTTACCACTTGGTCCATCACAGGAACAACTAACGAATTAAAATATTTAATTTTTGTTAGCTGACACGTTCAACTGCCACCTTTATTGTTGAATTTTTTTTTTTACAATTTATAATTTAGAGGATCGGGAGATTTTTTTTTGAATGGATGAGATTTAAAATTTTGATTAATTAAATTAATCATTTTAAAATTGGTTAAAACTCTTTTTTGGTCCCTGAACTATTGTACGGACCCCCGATTTAGTCCCTGAACTAAAAAAATCCCTGATTTGGTCCCTACTGTTTAC